TTTATATACTTGTATTAATATTTATATTTATCTTTGTTGATGGTTGCAGCAAAATATTTTGTAATCACTGGCCACATACTTTTCTAATTTCCCCTTTATTATTATTATTATTATTACTACTGTCACGTTCAGCTCCGAATGCTCCTCGTGTGTGCCACGCCCCCTCATTACCTCATGTCGAACCCTGATTGTTCTCACCTGTTGCCTGTTCCGTTTTCCTAGTCTCTTGTATTTAGTCCACGTCTCGAGTAGTTTTCCCCAGATCTGTCATCGTCTATTCCCATGCGTGAGTACCCGTCCTGCCTGTTTGCCTCCCCATAAACCCCGTTTTGTCTGTCAACCTGGCTGCTCTCGCCTCTCTCACCGGCTCGTCTACTCGCACCGTGACAATTACCATCTTTATTTGTATTTTCTTTTTATCTTTTTTACAAGTGCACCATCTCTCATGGGCCATACACCATCATATACAGTGGTACCTCAGAACTCGAACTTAATCCGTTCAGTACTCCACATCGAATCCTAAAAAGTTCGAATTCTGATCGAATTTTCCCCTTAAGAAATAATGAAAAACCAATTAATTGGTTCCCGGCCCCAAAAAATTACACCTAAATATGTTTTCTTTAGCATTTAAACACAAAACGAACCGGATAAAACAAGAAAAGCATATACTGTACTAAACACATCTAAGCACATTTATCAAAACAGTAATTTGTAAAGTAAGAAAATAAATGTATCCAAGCATTGTGTAAAGTTAAAAAAAAACAATGTGTCCTGCCCCGATCGTCCACTCCTTCCGGGTGCCACGCCCCCTCTTTAACCCCGTGTGGAATCCCAGCGTGATCAGCTGTTTCAGGTTGTTTTCATTAGTCCTCTGTATTTAGTCCGCGTTTCAGTTTGTTTCCCCAGTCCGGTCATTGTATTGTTTGTCTGCGTTTTGCCTGCCTTACCTGTAATTAAACCCCGTATTCCCCGATACCCTGACGTCTGCGCCTTTGTCTCCGTTCCGTCCCCGCTCGGCACGACAATATTATTATAATTAAATGTATTAATGGTTTATTATAAATATTTAAATAATTAATAAGAAATATTTATTTTTACATGTATTTTATTTCATAATAATTACTGTTATTGTCTATCATTGTCTAAATGTATGTTTACTGTCTAAATATATGTATTCAGCTAGTGTAAAAATGCACGATGATATCACAGCAAATGCGAGGCTGCAACTGAAGCGTTACCCTTTGTTTCCGCTGAGAGACGTGCCGCGTGACTCATTTCCCCGCGTGTACAAGTTATCTTAGGTCGGCATTTACGGTTTGAGATTCAGATCGAGCTCTAGGTAATTTTTTTTCGAACTGGTTGGTTCGACTTTTAAGAAATTCGAGTTCTAATGAGTTCGAGAACTGAGGTACCACTGTATATGCAATTCTTTCTTTCCGATAACATGGGAAGGAGACACAGGCTCGGACGGTGCAGACCTTGACAGGCTATGGTCATTATCCACGTGTGCTTTCCCGATCGTGCCCAGCTGGTCCTTGTTATGTCGGCTTGTCTTCTGTATTTAGTCCGCGTCTGAGTCAGTCTTCCCCAGATCCGTCATTAATGTATTGTCGCTGTCTTGGTCCTGCCTGCCCGAATAAAACCCCGTTTGCCTGCATTCTCGGCTTGCCTCGCATGTTTCCCGGCTCGCTCGCTTGCCGAACGTGACATTGTGTTGCTGTGTAATCATTTGATAATTTATTTAATATGTGATTTGACCCTTATTTATACATATACCAATGTATAGGTGCTGCAAAAAAATAATTTCAGAACTTTTCCCACCTTTAATGTGACCTATAACCTGTACAATTCAATTGAAAAACAAACAAATCTGTTGGGGGAAAAATATGAAAAATAAGAAACCTACAATAAGCTGGTTGCTTAAGTGTGCAGAATCTAAAACTAATAATGAAACACGCCTGCACACGGTAGAGATCAGCTAGTGTGACCCTGATTGAAGACGCTGCTGCCCGACACCCACATCTCTGCCAGTGTTGCTGCCCTGAAAATCATCTGGATTGGGGTTTTTCCATTCCATAGAGTTATTTTTGTGTTATTCCTGGCTTGCCGTGGTTGCAATTAAAATAAATCATATTCCGACTCTCTGTCAAGCCCTCTGTCCCCCCTTCTGTAGGAGCACCCTGTGACAATCGCTGGAGAATACAGGGATCAGCATGGATATTTTTTTCCCTTTTTCTCTCTTTCTGTTGTCCAGAGATGCGGCACCATGTCTTATATATATACATTTTATGTCTTACGATATAAAATGGCACCACATTTGTAATGTTCTTCCACATCTGCCCTGTTCTGTCGTACAGTGTGACACTGGAAAACAAGGCAGCTAAAGTTGGCTGTGTTTTAATAATGGACACTTTATTGATCCCCATGGGGAAATTGTCATTATACCTCCCTCAACTTGTTCCTTTTTTGATAGAGTAAGTTGTCCATGAAGGGCAGCCACCCAAAGCAGCACTTAGGGGTTAAGGACCCACAGACATACTGAGGCTGGGTTTGAACCAGCAACCCCTGGATTACAGGCACACAGGCTTAGCCCACTGAGCCACACACTGCCCCATTTGGGGGAGAGTGTGAAAACAGTCCCCCACTACCAGAAATTATGCAGTTGAGATTCCCACATTTGGGCAATTCGCAGAGGTCAGCACAGCCGCAGTGCAATGGCTGGGCCTCACCCTGGGTGAACCACCTTTGTGATCATGGTATCTCCCCTGCCGGGTCAGTATTTAACATTAGTTCTGGGAATGCAATTACAGCTAGCATCGGAATTTCAGCAGGAAACGCATTACTCCCATTCTGCTGGATGCCTTTGTTTCAGATGCTGGAACAAGTTTGTAGTGCTGCTACTTTTGGTTTTAACAATTTTTTTACAAACCTTGCACCTGGTCTGTTCCACGTCTGACCTCGCAAAACCAAACCGTGTCTATATGATTGAAGTAACATGCCCTTGTTCTGGTATTACTGCGTCTTCTTCAGCCGTATGAAATGTGCGTTCTGTAGTAGCAGCCATGTCCTTTCACTGATGTTTCTGAAACAGTCTCTGTGCATGTGCATTCCCAGAGGTCTCGGGGGAAAGAACGCCAACATCCACTTGTGGTAACTAAGAGAATTACAGGTGCAGACTTGTGTAGAAGGAATTGTGACAGAGGAAGCATTAGATTAGAGCCGATTTTTCAATTTAAGTATTTTTCACATCGATTTAAAACAAAACTCGATCAATTGAATTAATTCAGCTTAGATCCAATAGGCTACCACCTGCTAGGAGAATGAGGCTGGATTTCGCCAGACTCCAAGATCAAGCTGTTTCTGTTGCGTTTGCATGCATTTTGTGTGAGGAACCTGCAGACTTGGATGCATCTGCTGACTGATGTGGGAAACCTTCCATGATAAGACCCTGAAGGTTGCCGAGGGTTGTGTTGGTGTTGCTAGTGTTCCCACAAGGAGGTGTTTTATCTCGCAGGGCACCCTGGATATTATTGAGAGGAGTCGCATTGCACAACATGGTGGCAACTCCAGTCTGTACTGGGAACTGAGGAGGACGGCTGTGAGGGCTCTGAGGGCAGATAAGGAGGCACGAATCTATGAGCAGGTGATACACCATGTGGTCTAGTGACCCACGTCCTGCTTACAGAGGAATCGAAGCATTACGCGCATCTGAATCTGTTCCTTGGAGACTTGCAGTCAGGGCAGGTGATGGAACAATCCTTCATCCATCAGCGCATGCTCCCCAACCTGACCTGACCTATAAACAAAGCACTGTATACAGAGTACAATGAAATTCTTGCTGGAATGCCTTCTCCACAGACTACAGACAATTAACAGCTACGTTGCAAAACAATAAATACTACGTGCAAAATACTAACTGCTACGAGATATCTCACAACATATAGTATCTTACAATGTATATAATACAACATTCAACATAAGGGAGTAAAGTGCCAGGGCAAAGTAGCAATATAAAGTGGTGAAGTGATGTCCTTAAGTCTTGAACTCCATTGAAGGAACTAACCATAGAGCAGAAGTGGAAACATCAGATAGTCTAAGAGAACTTGATTTGTAATGTTAATTTAAAGTGGTGCCGGGCATTCATTGGATTATCAAAGGCATGGGCTCTCAATTGGTGAAGGCCCACCCCAAAAATCTTATCAGGGCAGTGGACCTTATTTTTGTTTCGCCGATGGAATTTTGATCTTGGAGGGAAAAAAACTTAGTATCCACTATCTATGGCCAATTTTAGTTATACAAAGTCACTCTCATATCCACTTGTAATACTTGGTATCACAGGTTGCAATAAACCATATGTGGAGGCAACATTCCGATAGCCAGTGGCCCAGCCTGAGGTGTAAACAGCGTCAGATGAGCTGGAGAAACATAGGCTGGAGCAGAATGTGTGACTGATATAAGGATGTGGATCCACTGCAGGATATAGCTGGATATGTGGTGAAGAAACTGCGGGACAGGGGGTTATTCTACATTGTTGCAGAGAGTGAAGGGATGCATCTGAGTGTAAGCGACAGTGAAGAAGCTGTATGGTCCTGTTTGGATACTGAAGTCATCTGAATTGCTGCTGCTGATGGTGGTGATAATAGGATTAGGGTGAATTACTTATGAGGAGGTGTTTTGAGAGTGCTTCATAATTTATTACTATTATTTAAATTCAGTGCCTTTGTTTGGGCAGAATCATTTTGGACTATGAGCACAAATGTATCCCTCCATCTTTGTCAACTTGTCAGTCTCTATTCATGTGTGGTTCTCATGCAGTAACCATAGCAACCGTAGGTGGCAACCATACAGTCCTAATATCATAGTAAAAGTCTCTCATGATGCTCATATTAGCTGGTGATTGTATTGCACTTTTATTTTGAATTGTACTTTAATGCATGAAATAACGCTACATTCGCCATATTGTGAAATATTTTTCATTACACTTTCGCATTTGTGGCCAGATGTAATGCGCGGGGCTTTTTGTTTTATAAGTCTAGAAATATAATCAGCAGATTTAACGGTCTCACGCAGCTATAAAAGGCCAAGAAAGGGCGGGTTTAAAATAGACTGAAAGAAGCAATAGCCAATCGTTGCTTTGGATATGAAGGTTAGAGGGTGTTCCCGAAGCTCAGTATAATTCCTCTTACTAGGTACGTTCTGAAGGGCTGTCTGTAAAGTGTGTTTAGTCCACATTGTCTGTTCTGTGCTGTTGTTTTTTTTTAATTATAATTATAAATCTGGATCGAAATGTTTCTGCAAGTTTCAAAGAGCCTGAAAGTGTGAGACTTTACACTATAACATTATTAGAGGTTTAATACGCTACTAAGCAAATAATCACGCTTCCGGTCAGCAGTCTGCGCAGAATCGTACCGCGTCCGCAGCTCCCGTTGCTGAAATTTCCAAGTTACAATAATTGAAAGGCACGTGTGCCATTCTAGAGGATATTATTGTACAGAGCATTAATTGCCAGTGGATGACTTACAGTATCCTTCGGGCCGAGACGTTTAATGTCTGCTTCCGAGTCACTGCCATCAATGTGAGTATTATGTTAATATATACTGACATTTAGTAAAACCATGGAAAGCTGATTAGTTTTAAGTGTTGGTACTGCTTTGTTGGTTTACCCTTGTTTATATCATATAAATGACAAGATGTTTGTAATTTTACTACTTTGGTGAATTGCATATGATACTAATAATAAGGGATGTTTCTATCGAAAACTCAAGATTTTTCGTCATCCGAAGAATCACTTAAGCAAGAGACGGCATTTAATCTAATCGTGTTTTCTAAGAAAATAATTTGGTCAAAGTGAATGCTTGGATCGTTTCGGGTGACCTACGAGACACTCCACGAAACATAATTTTGGTCACAATTTCTTGGGAAATGCACACATTTTTTTGCAATGCGGCTGTCGTTTTCTGTCACGACAATAAAAGGGCGCGTGTTATTAGCTTTTCATTCATTTTGTATTTTTATGTTTCTGCGTAGGCGACAGAATGACCTGCTGTGACAGAGAGGAACACGGCCTTCCCCTGACGTTTGTTTTAACTGTGAGTGACTGGAAGTGTTTTGCCTACGTTTTGTCCTTCGGCGTTATGCGCCGCACTTTCAGTTTTTTTTTTTTTTTTTTGGATGGTTGAAACAATGTCGTTATACCCGAGATAGCAAATCTGAAAAAGATAAAATTCTGTTGTCAGGTAGTCTTAACTTAAGTTGTTTGTTAACCAGAGCCCTGTTAATGTTTTTTGTTTCCTTTTTTAAAGTTAATAATTAGCCCAGTTCCGGGACCTTCGTGATAGGGATCAGGAAATTCATCTCTTTGGTAAGTCTGTTGTAGTTGCTGGCCCATTAAACTGATCTAAGTTGGCACGAAAGTGGCAAAATTGTGTTGTATTATCCGTATTGCTGTCTTTGGTGGTGGTTTAAGGAGACGATGCTGTTACTTGTAACTTTTAATGCGTAACATTTATGTGCCTGAACACGAATGGCGTTATAATACTTTACCCGAGGGAGCACAAATAATGTAGTATTATGGCTACTTGCACAATAACCACAAATTAATTGTTGATTGCAAGCTGTTATCATGTGTGACAATTCATTAATGATGAACAAACATCTCATCTCAGGCAAGTAATATATTTACTTTATTTTTCACATTTGTATTTATCATACAGTGTAATTTATTGTTTGTATAGTGTCGCTTTTTGTCTGTGTACGAGAGAGTATCAAGCTGCCGGAAACAAATTCCTTGTGTGCCCCAGCACACCTGGCGAATAAAAGCTGATTCTGATTCTGATTTATCTGCTAATTATGTGAACCTTTATGGACTACTGAAGTAAGTACTGAGTAACGCATGTGAAATACTGATATCATGTTTGTTCATCATTAATTAATCTTTACACATCTTTAATATTAAGTAGTTTGTTCATGATTTATACTTCAGTAGTAACTGAGCTATTACTAAGTTTTTGTGTCCCCTCAAGTAGTTACAAGATATAGCTTTACAAACCCAGAAACATAAAGGAAAGCAAAGTTCTTTATGAAAAATAAATATTAAAATATAACGCTGATTTGAATTTTAAGAAGGATGTACAGATATGTAAAACATATTTTTATAATTTTTTATATCAAAGCATCAAATCAAAGCAAACTTGTGGGTTTTGGAAATTTTTCTTGTGGTACTGGAAAAGTCATGGAAATTTATTCTGCCAGAACATTTACCGTTAATCCTCTGAGCAAGGTCCTTAACCCCAAATTGCTCCAGGGACTGCCTTCCTTCTTAACGAATGTATACCACTTTGGATAAAAGTGATTTCTAGATAAATGAAACCCCTGTCCATTTGCTGCTTCTTCTCAGATATGCGGTGGTAGGACCATCCAGGCAGGCAGGGGGGATGGCCATGAAAGTTGTCAGCTCCAGGTGCTCCTTCTACCTGGGCTTCCTGGTGGGAACCTGCATGCTGTACTTCCTGCTGCACCAGGCTGGGTTTAATAAGACCCTCCCCAAGCTGTCTGATGGCCTGGGAACAACAGCCAAAGCTCTGCCTAAACAGGGGACCGAACACAAGGACTGGAGGGTGGAGGGATCTGCCCTTATCAATCAGAACCATGCTCATCACTCGGGTAAGAAGGCTTCAAATTTTATATGTCCATGGCTGCTATGTCCTGGGCATGACGTTAAGTGGCATCTGGCCCTGCAAGCTGTCCTCCAACTTGCAGGGAAAGAAACATTTGGGGCTTGGTGGTGGGATTGGCACTCCAGCCACCATAACACAACTTGCAACACCTTGAAAGAAACAGGCACGATATTCTTCTGCTCTCTGTGGGAGTAGCTCTGCTGCAGCCGCCCACAGGAAGGCTGCACGCACCATGAAGGGGATGGGGGAAAGCCTTCGGGAGTCTTATCCCCGGACGAGTCAAAGCCGTCGGACAGCTAATAGGCTCAGGCCTGTTGGGGGTCGGGGCTGGTGTAATGCTGAGGTGTCGCCTGATGCATGGCAACACTTGGGTCCCAGTTTGAGGCGACCCATCCGGGCCATGTGTCTGCCTGGGGGGTCACCAGCCGGGATCCCGTGGAGTTTCACCGTGTAGTGGGTGTGGCAAATAGACTAATCATGAAATCAAATTTTAGCCCGGTTAATTGCCATTGTTAGCAATATCAGTTGATAACACATTACACGCAGTGCTTTACGTATAAAACTCCGTAGTAACACGTCCACAGATAAGTTGGACAGTATAGTGTGTGCGACCGATTTAATGAGCCACAAATGAGAAGTAGTGCTTAAATGGTATGAAACTACAACTTTCCCTTCTGTTGAGAAAGGGTGCAGCCATCCTGGATTCTGAACTCGGAATCCTCTGTGCTGCTCTGAGATATTTCTCGGATCTCCGAGAAACGGGAGTGCGCATGTTGTCACTTCCGACTTCAAAACTCCGGAATCCGACTCGTAATACGAGTTCCGAGGGCAAATGGAACGCACCAAAACTGTCTGAAATGGGTTGAAAATGACTGCAGATGGGTTGAGTTAAAATTTTTAATCAGATTAATCATGATGATGGATTAATTCGCGTTAACCCATTAATTTTGACATCCCTACTATTAATATATCTCATCTGCAATCACCTAAAGGATTATTAGGAACGCCTGTTCAATTTCTCATTAATGCAATTACCTAATCAACCAATCACATGGCAGTTGCTTCAATGCATTTAGGGGTGTGGTCCTGGTCAAGACAATCTCCTGAACTCCAAACTGAATGTCAGAATGGGAAAGAAAGGTGATTTAAGCAATTTTGAGCGTGGCATGGTTGTTGGTGCCAGACGGGCCGGTCTGAGTATTTCACAATCTGCTCAGTTACTGGGATTTTCACGCACAACCATTTCTAGGGTTTACAAAGAATGGTGTGCAAAGGGAAAAACATCCAGTATGTGGCAGTCCTGTGGGCGAAAATGCCTTGTTGATGCTAGAGGTCAGAGGAGAATGGGCCGACTGATTCAAGCTGATAGAAGACCAACTTTGACTGAAATAACCACTCGTTACAACCGAGGTATGCAGCAAAGCATTTGTGAAGAACCTTGAGGCGGATGGGCTACAACAGCAGAAGACCCCACCGGGTACCACTCATCTCCACTACAAATAGGAAAAAGAGGCTACAATTTGCACGAGCTCACCAAAATTGGACAGTTGAAGACTGGAAAAATGTTGTCTGGTCTGATGAGTCTCGATTTCTGTTGAGACATTGAAATGGTAGAGTCAGAATTTGGCGTAAACAGAATGAGAACATGGATCCATCATGCCTTGTTACCACTGTGCAGGCTGGTGGTGGTGGTGTAATGGTGTGGGGGATGTTTTCTTGGCACACTTTAGGCCCCTTAGTGCCAATTGGGCATCGTTTAAATGCCACGGCCTACCTGAGCATTGTTTCTGACCATGTCCATCCCTTTATGACCACCATGTACCCATCCTCTGATGGCTGCTTCCAGCAGGATAATACACCATGTCACAAAGCTCGAATCATTTCAAATTGGTTTCTTGAACATGACAATGAGTTCACTGTACTAAAATGGCCCCCACAGTCACCAGATCTCAACCCAATAGAGCATCTTTGGGATGTGGTGGAACGGGAGCTTCGTGCCCTGGATGTGCATCCCACAAATCTCCATCAACTGCAAGATGCTATCCTATCAATATGGGCCAACATTTCTAAAGAATGCTTTCAGCACCTTGTTGAATCAATGCCACGTAGAATTAAGGTAGTTCTGAAGGTGAAAGGGGGTCAAACACCGTATTAGTATGGTGTTCCTAATAATCCTTTAGGTGAGTGTAAACTTCAAGGTATGCTTTAAAGTTATGACTTTTTTAAAAAGAGTTGCCATATATTATTTTTGTACTAAATGAAAACAGCCCTTGACGTCAACATAAGTTTTGCTGGGTGATTGTTTAATAATAATAGTTCATTTGGTTTATAATAGGAGAGGACAGCCGGATTGCAGACGAGCTGTATAAGAAGGTGCGCATTTTATGCTGGGTCATGACCAGCCCAAGTAACTTGCAGACAAAGGCACGACATGTGAAAGCTACCTGGAGCCGGCACTGCAACGTTCTGGTCTTCATGAGCTCAGAGGAGGACCCGGATTTCCCCACAGTCAAGCTCAGCACGGGGGAGGGCCGTGACCAGCTGTACTGGAAGACCATCCAGGCTTTCCACTATGTGCTAAAGAACCATGATGAGGAGGCCGACTGGTTCCTAAAAGCGGACGACGATACCTTTGTCATAGTGGACAACTTGCGCTGGCTTCTGTCTAACTACACGCCTGAGGAACCCATCTATTTTGGCAAGCGCTTCAAGCCGTACACCAAACAGGGCTACATGAGTGGTGGTGCAGGCTATGTGCTCAGCAAGGAGGCCCTCCGCCGCTTTGTGGAAGGCTTCCGAACCAAGGTGTGTACCCACACCTCGTCGGTGGAGGACCTGGCTCTAGGGCAATGCTTGGAAAAGATGGGCGTGGCCGCGGGAGATTCCAGGGACACCCTGCATCGTGAGACCTTTCACCCATTCGTGCCTGAGAACCATCTCGTTGGCACGTTCCCCAAGAGCTTCTGGTACTGGAACTACTGCTACTATCCCATCGTAGAGGCAAGTGTGTATGTATGTATGTATGTGGGTGGGTGGGGGTGTCTGGAATCTTGGTTTGGCTCATGCCATAGGCAGCCTGATCTATTCTCCTGGTTCTTTTTTCCCCAGCAGACAGTAAGTAGATGAAAGATTGATATCCCTCTACTCAGGACTCTCAGGAAGAAAGCCATCCAGTGTGATTAATAAAGAGATACAAACTAATTGTAGACCATAATTTAGTGTTTAGTCATTTTCAAAAGTTGAATTTTTTTTCCTGCATGAAACCTTCCCTGGGATTGCTGTTGTTGAAATTATGACGTTATTATGATGTATGTTTGAACTTCATTGCAGGGGAGAACACAAAAATTTCTATGAAATGTCAAATTTCCAGGGGTGCCATTATTATTTCAATCTGTTTTCTGTGCATGTGCATGCATCAGTGTTTAGCACTAGAGGTCGACCGATATTGAATTTTACCGATACCGATAGCTAGGTTGGTCCGTACTTGCCGATAACCGATTAATTAACCGATAGTTTTTAAAATGGATACTGGATAAAAAAAAAAAACTAAATTAAAACACAACACTACATGTAAAATAGTACTACACTTTATTACAAAAACCAAACAAAAAAACAGTACTGAATCATGAAAATGTGCTATATGAAATAAATATGAATATATTAATAAATATTGAGGTAAATTAAAGACATGCTTTCAAACTGAAAGAAAAAGTAACACTCCAAATAAATAAAAAGTTACATACAAAATGAATTATAATAATAATTATATAATTATATAATATTATAATTATATATAATATTAATTATATAAATGTATATTATATGTGTAGTCTCCCACTATATTTGCTTCTATTTTGAAAACTTTTTTCTCTCTCCATAGGCAGAGGTTGACCAAACTGTTTGTGTAATCTGTTAACAACGCTCATTATATACCCGTCTTTTTAGGCAAGAACCAGATAATGAGTTTCACGTCATGAAATGGTTTTAATACGAAGGGAGCTGTATTACGTGATAACAAATTTAATAAAAACATCGTAAGTTGGGTCTATAATAGTAATGATTTCATTTCAAACAACAAATATATTATATAGAGAAGGTGAGCAAAGTATCAACAGAGCTTTTTGAAACTCCGAATCAGTAAAACACTGCGTCGCAATAAGATTCACTGTTTCGAAGCGCTCCAGTCGGATCCCCCCATCACCCCGGCAAATCGCACCCTGTGCCTGAAGATAAAAAGAACTGAAATCGAATGCATTCCTGATGGTAACAATCATGACATTAAACATTTGGGTCGGACTTGCGTGTATTTTTGCCACATTATTTTGACCGCTTGATGTACTGCTAATGTTAGCGTCCTCTCAGCCTTGTCGACAAACATACTGCTGTTCTTTCTCCAATGCAGAATCTAATCAACAAATGAATTACTTTATATTGAGATGAAAACATGTACTGTAGTGTACTGTATACATACCTTTTCGCTGTCTGTGTTTTAAACGTGCATTTGAAGTGTCAGCGTTGTCCGTGCACCGCGCTCTCTCCAGGCAGTTTGCGCTCTCCTTGCAACTAACAGTATCACGTGTCAAAACAAAAGCATGTGCTTTACAGCGATTTTCGCCTATAGAGGCGGCACTTGCCATAGATATATATGTTGGCTCTCGCACTGTATAAGGACAACGGACCGTTCTCAGCCGCTTCAGCTCTGACGCAACCCGGAAAAACTATCGGCGTGGATTTTTGCCGATAACCGATAGTTCCGGGAATCAACTATCGGTGCCGATTAATCGGCAAAACCGATACATCGGTCGACCTCTATTTAGCACAGTGATTTTCATCGTACCCCCCCCCCCCGGTTCTTGGTTTTCTGTAGGACGGTTTAACTGACAGCTAACCTGTAATCATATGTAGGAGTTTGTTTGCTACGGCAGGTTCCTGTTGAAAAGCAATGATATTGTTGAGTCAAACTGGTTTGAGGTACAGTGCATGCTTGTAAAACAGTAAAAAGCACTTTATAAAAGTCATAAACCCTCATGTATTGCTGAGCTAAAAGGACTCAGATAGTGAAAACTGCAGCACGTTTTTACTCCCCCTATAATCTTCTCTCTCCTTGCCCCTTTCGTCCCAGGGCCCACAGTGCTGCTCAGACCTGGCCGTGTCCTTCCACTATGTGGACGCTGAGATGATGTACCTTCTGGACTATTATACCTACCACCTGCGGGCCTATGGGTACCGACACCGCTATCAGCCCCCGCTGCCTGAGAGCCTGGGTGTGTTGCCGCAGACTGTGGGGGGGGCCGGGCTGGGTAACGAACCGGGAGTCGGAGGGAATGCCGCGGAACAGGAAGCTGAATCGAAGGCACGACTGGAGGCGGAACCTGCTGGAAACAGAACGGCTGTTCTGGAGAAGCAGTAGTAGTACTGTAATTAGGAGTGAGGTGTGCTTGTGTGCCCAAGGCCTGTCTGACTTGTGCATATATAATATGACGGAAGGTGCACATTAACAACCTGTTATTCTGTCGGCTTTCTGTTTGACTGTCCCAAAGATTGCATTATAAAAATGTTTACTTTGAACGGTCAGCCCTTTTTACGTCAGTCACAATCGTTTGTGTAAGGTAGGTCCGTTGTGTGATGATTTATTGGTTCGCTGTTTGGGCATTGGCATTTCAATTAAGGTTGAATTATGTACAACAAGAATGGCTGAGGCATGGTTCATAACGTGTGGATCAACCTGTCTAAGTTAATTAGTTATCACTGACTTTCTTCTCTGTGGTACTATGTAAGGCTAGTCCATTATTTTAATGCCCCTATTTTATCTAGTTTGGCAGGTGGCCCCTTTCAGTGCATGACATGAAAGCCTACTCAAGGCACAAAGTAGGCACGCCTGGTTTGGTTGTGTGCCACCTACTTCTTGCTCTGCAGGTTGCATGCGTCATTGATTTGAAGTTATGCTCAGAAAGCACCATCCTCTCGAATAGCTTAACGTTAAGTTCCTGGCCGCCAGTAGATGGCGCTGTAAAGTGAGGATGGGGAGGGGGGGGGGAGACAAGCCCAGCCATCTAAACCACCTGCTGGAAAGTGAAGTTATTTGTGCTGTATGGGCCCACGTATTTTTAATGTGTGAAGGCCGGGCCGTTTTAGAGAATTTGGTGACTGTTTTTAGGCATAAGGGAAGGAAAATAAGTAGGTGTATGTTTCCCAGTTTGTTTTAATTCATTGGGGATAATCTTTCAGGCTTGTATATATGACGATTTTTAATGTATGTACAGCAACCTGGTGTTTCAGTTCTGTATATTTACTGGACCAGAATACTTGGGGTACTCACCTGAATGACAGCTGTCCACATGGTGGGAGGCCCCACATGGGCTTATGTGGAGAAACATCAGGGAGCGAGAGATGACAAAATATATTATGATTGATTTATCAAAGGAATTTTAATTATCTCCCTGCTTATTGTCTAAGTATTGATCAGTTGTAATTAAAGTTTGGATTGGGATGTTTTTAGTTTTGGTGTTTGTGTACTCAATGCACTTCACACCTAAGTGTTGATTTCTCTCTTCCTCTGTAAATAAGCAAGATATAGGTTTTTTTTAGTCTGTGGATATTTTGTAGATTAAATTATTTCATTTCTGTAGTGTCTGCCTGTGGACTTTTGGTTAAAATTGCAGATATCTGATCTGACTTTTTGGGGGGTGTTTTTGAGGCTTCCTCATCATATGTTACAGTATTGGGAACCAAAGCTCACTCAGTCCTCATGTAATCCACCTAAGAACTTTGATTACATTTCCAAAGCTCACTAAGACCTTCTTGAAAGCGTATCCTATGGACTGAGTGCGTTTTGAAAATGTATTCTTCACTTCATCATCATCATCATCTCCAGGTTGAGAACGCATTTTGCTGGTTTAGATTACTTTCCTAAAGCCTGAGCTTGTATTACCCATTACTATAGTTTTTACATGTTTTTACTATGGTATAGCACAGCTGCATTGCACCATATGTAAGCTGAAATCTCATTGATTTTGTATCATGTAGGGGATCCCTGACCAGGGTTCCACTGGGCCACAGAATGCTGAGAGTTTGTGGAGAGGTTGGTTAATTTAGAAAATTAAACTATATATTTGCAATTTTTCATGAGCCCTCATGTTTGTGCATTCTGTTTGCATGTGAAAAAATGGAAACCGTTAAGTTATGAAATCTCCTATCGATCCCAGCCCCCTCATTTCACCAACATCAAAAGGTTGAGAAGCCTTTATGTGAACAGCATTCACTTAATTTTTTTTTAATCACCAAATTCTGTTTCTTAAAGCTGTATGTGATTTTCCCCCCCTTTGTTTTGTAAAGGGTATTTTATTACCCTATGCTCTTCCACTATATCATGAAACTGTCATGTAAATAAGTTTGGGAGGTGTGTCTCTTTTTAAAAGAATGTCTTTGGCGTCTTCTGTGGAGGCTGATTGCTGTGAACAATCACTGTGTATAAAAATGTCATGTTTCAAGTCAAATTTCAGAACTTGCTGTCCCAAAGACATAGTTAGGTTAATTATCATCTCTATATTTCCCATAATGTGTGCGTTCATTGTGATGGACGGACATTTGTTTGGAGTGTTTTGCATTGTACCTTGTGATGCCTGTGCTAAGCGAATGCCTGTTGCGACCTTGTACTGGATAAGCAGTTGGAGCAAAGATAAATGAAATTGTTGATTTGGTAAGAAGTCATGCTTATCCAGTTTGGGTTTGTGATGTTGACTCTTTCCCATGTTATAACAAGGGTTATCCAGCAAATATTGAAATCGAGGTAGGAGTTTTGCAAAAAGTTACTGTGGAATCAATTATCTCATGTTTATTTACAAAAACACATTGTTGATTCTTTAAAAATTATAATGCTCTCTAAACCACAAAGGCTCTTATCAATAAAACTGACAGAATATAAACCTTTTCATCTTGTTATATGACAGACGCAGTTGTTTCTTTCCCCTTTGCACCCTGTAAAATCTGGAACAAAAATTTATTCACTAGGCAGAGTTCAGATATTTTCACGCAAGTGCGATGGGAACGCTGAACTACTCTTCTTGGCGAGACCTGCAATGAAGCAGTAAAGCATTCTAGTTAGACTATATCTGAAATCTGGTTCAATATGATGTACCTTATAAGAGTCACTGCTGATGTTTCATGTCAAGTGGGTCTGTATTGTCACACTAACCATAATTAGGACACTGCATACGGTCAGACAAAATAATGTTTCCTGGACCAGCTATATGTATACATAAAGTGCATATGTTAAAAACATTAATACACAATGTAAAAAGTAAACGATGATGAAATATTACTTGAACTACAGAGAGGTTCATACACAGCACTTTATTTGTGGGGAGAAATATTCACTGTTCATAAGTAATGACTTCTGTCAATATAAAACTGCTGACATTAACCATCATGGGTTTTGTTAGACATAGAAAATTGAATCTATATGTAGTAATTTGTGGTAGTTGGTAGTTTCTAGTCTAACCACAGTTTTTTAATCAGTGTGTTTTTTTTTTTGATATTCCAATCTGATATTGCAAATGGAAGCTGTGGTTTTGAGTTTGGAACTTCTCTGTGGGTGGTGGTGCCTTAATGGTTGTAATTGAAAGATTGCTGGTTCGAATCCCCAGCCGGAAAGGCACCACTGAGGTACCCTGAGCAAGGTACCGCCCCCAAGCACTGCTCCCTGGGTGCTGAATTAGCTGCCCCCTGCTATGACACATATGGTTTAACTACAGAGGACACATTTCATTGTTGTGTGCTATGGTGTGTCAACAATGATCACTAAATTCTGATTTCCAGATACCTGCTCTGAATTGTCTAGAAACTGATTTGACAATTTTTAAGCTACATTAAAATGGCCAGTTAAACTTAATTTTTTATAAAACAAACTGATATCTACAATGAGATGCCGAACTAACAAGACTTGAGATGATTATCCTCATTTCTGCTGAATCCCTCAATTGTGCCTCAGAAAGAAAGCTTTATTCACCTCAGCTTGCATTTATTGAAGAAAATCCCAACCCTCCTCACAGGGTACTCTTGTCTCCAAGGACGGGATTCATCTGTAAGTACACGAATAGCTCGGTCACTGAGTGATGTGAGGTGCATGCTGAGACGAGATGGTGAAAAAAAGGAATATACAGTACGTAGCAGAACGTCCGAGATCACATGCACTCACCCATCTGTGAACTCCTGCGACCCATGAGTCCCACAAAGACATCATGCATGTCCCCTGTAAGAGACAACAGGTTGTTTCTATACGTAATTAATGTATCTATTACAAACGCCATTATAAAATGATTAAGCAAAACTAATTCGGCTTACTTTTTCGTAGCGGTGAGTTGTTTGTGCCTGGAGAAAAAGAACATGTCTAAATTTCTTACTCTTATGTAATGATTTACATGAACAGAATTAATGGCTAGTTTTCCACGGATCACGCTACCCCGCAGTGTTGCTGTTTGACCGCGTTTTTAATATTTCAAGCCTTAATTGCCAATTTTGTCCATATGGTAAGTAAGTAAAGGAAAAAAAATAAAATTACATATGAATAAAAATTACTCACCGCTGCTTCTCCTGCCCATCAGTCCCACGAAACTATCATAATCGATATCGCTATACCGTTTCAGAAGTTCGCGGGGAATGTTAGACAATCCACGACCCTTCTGTATCTGCAAAAAAATCTCCCATTATATTTATATATATATATGGCGTTTTTACTTGTTCTAAAAGAACCGAATGATGACCACTAGTATCAAAGTCTACATCAAGCCATGCAGATCTAATAATACAACTAATAATACAACTGAAAGGTACCTCCAGCTCCGATCTGTGTGGCTCTCCGATCTCCTGCTCTTCGCAGCTGGACTGGCAGGATGGGAAGCTCATCATGATGGACAGAACCGCCAGCAACAAACTGCTCCTCATCGTTTCCTGCTGGATGCACCTATAAGCACGGATAAGTGTGGATGGGGTCACACGTCAGTAGGGAGTAATCTAATGGTAAAATGTATTTTTTGGAGACAAGTAATAAAATATGTTATCGGATAATATAAAAAAAGAAAATATAAAGATTTAAAGAAACATCTGAAAAGGAAAGACTCTCATATCGCACAGTGTAAAGTACTTCTGACGTTTTGAAAAAAATCAGCGTCATGTTTGTAAAGTTTCCATAAATATATCTGTCAGAAACAATAGAAAAAACTGCAATATGTTTTCCTCACTTGTTTGTGATTATGCAGCATGTTGTACTTAACAACAATAATTTGAATCTGAATCAAACATTTGATATCTAAGCTTGAGTAACGGGCACTGTATTTTTCGTATAAAGGATTAATTAATTACAACCCAATTGGAGGATTGTTTTGTGCCGTAAAACAAGAATTACCCAACATAAATTAAAAATGTTGAGAGAATTACATAAATAAATTTTAGAAATGTAGTCTAAATAATATAATACTATAGGTTTTGTATTTGTATTTAATAAAATAAGCAGTTGTTTTACATCTTTAATAAAAACTAAAATGAATTAAATCAGAACAATAAAACGATTATATCTGATAAGTACGATAATTTAAAAAGCAATACTACTACTACTACTACTACTACTAATAATAATAATAATAATAATAATAATAATAATAATAATAATAATAACTTGTTACCTGTAATAAAGCTATCTGATATTATCGACTTGAAAGGACAAACAGCAGCGAATGTCTTTCTCTGGCGGATGGAAGAGAAGTTACTGCCTTTGAGATGCTGTAGAACCGCTACAGTGAAATACTCATCCATGTGAAACGCTGGATTATGGAATGTTCACGGCACTCCAATCAGATGCGACTTGGTGGGCGTGGTTTCAGGTAGCCTCTCTGTTTCTGTCACTGAGAAGCCAGTACCTCGTAAATGCGACGATAACGACGCAAACACTGGGCTATATCGAACTTCTCGTTGTGACAAAGGAAAAAATACTTTTAGTAATAAAAATGGATTCCATATTTGATTGCTCGACACTTATGCGCCCTGTAATATATAAACTGTAAGAACTGTGACAATAAATTTTGAAAGTCTAAAATATATTCATAAATACGTCTTAATTGTACAAACAAACTGTATGTCTTCTGTTTTATAGTTGATTTTATCAGTCACTGCAGTGAATGGAGAAATTGAAGAAAAGTCTAGTTGCTAACTTATGTAATCCAAAAACAATAAATGTGATATGATTCCTTTTGCTCCATCGTTATTACACAACAAAGTGATAATCTTCACATTCAGATACATTAATATAATATATTAAAATAAAGGATGCAGTTAGGGTACATGGGTACATTCATTTTTAAACTATTGGAAATTACATTTATCTCTATATTGACACCTGATGACTGTTGGACATGTAAATAAAATAGTTTTATAGGCTAATATTTAACTTATTATTCCATTTTTTTTTGGAAGTTTTATGTGAATTATGGCAAGTATTTCAATCCATCTGTCCATCCCTCCCTTATTCCCTAGATCCATGTTTTGCTCCATACATTCATGTAACTAATCAAACATTCCATGATTATTTTCCACATTATAATAAACTTTTACTAATCGACACAAAGTGATTAAGAACTTTGAGTAGCATCCTCTGAATGACAATAGGTGGGTAGGGCAACCATATTATTGAGTTAGCATGTCTGATATGAATTGCCACCTGTCACCTACAAAATCACTTCCTGTTTTGTGAAAACAATTATACAATGTATTGCACCTTAAGTGAACAATTATTATAAGCAATCGTGACAGTGTACTGTACCTAATGACACAGACCAAGATGTTGTGAGAACACAATATCTTTGAAAGACTACAACTGGCATCCCTTCAGTTAGGTGAATTTGTGAATCTGTTGCTCTTTTTTTCTGTTTTGTAATGAAGTAAGTGAGCAAGGTCAGGTGATCTTGCATCAAACCAGTGGTAGCTGGTTCTGAATCTTATTTAGACACATTAGGGAGCATTGTTATTAGATGGCAAGGCTTACACAAGGCTAATTGGATAACTGGTTAAGCAGGCAATACAATTAGGTGGTAAATGATATAATAAATAATAAATGACATTGTATGCATATTTAAAAAGATATAACAATCAATTCAAATCAATGTATCTATTAAGATCTGACATTAATAGTGGAAAATGTATCATTATGTGCTGTGATACTTAAATTTCCTGTCTAGTCAGCTTCATAATACAGAAATCCAGTGACTAATATTTTAAAGTACTATGGTGTGCACTTTGAACTCAGTGTGCAATCTGGCTGCAAGTGGAATACAACATGACCCAAATGCCTGCACACCCCCAGGATGGCTGTGCAAGTGGGGAGGGCATTTGCAAAAGGGGAGAGTTCAGAGAGTACATTTTACAAAAGGTTACCAGCTTTCTTTTGACTTCATATGTTTTATTCATATGTTCAGATCTATATTTGCCTAAACCTGTTTTCTGCAGATTACTCTGTTGAACTGGGAGAGAGGTGGAAGGCACAAGATCTGACAGTTGCGGGGGTGGGTAGATAATTAACTGTATTTCTGCATCATTTATGACCAGTCCTTTCCTTCATCATGGAGTCATATCCTGTGGCCTATCAGGCAGCCCCCCCCAGGATATCTCTGACGACACTGCATACAGGGAGGACGAGGAACTACCTCTCCCATGGGGCATCCAGGCTGCATCATCAGGCCTAGTCAGCAAACTCATATGCCTCCCTCATGGTGACATTGCCTTTAAAACAAAGGTAAACAATGTCTGCAAATGGCAACAGAGAGGATGGGTCAATCTGAAACCAGAGAGTGTTTCAGAATGTAATGCTTTACTTGATTAGTTGTTTGATTTAGAGAAACACCAGCAAACTGTCATGCTACAAGAAAAAGACTGACTTTTATGGTGCCCTGCTAAAGTTGAGGACAAATATTAAATTGCAACAATAATAGTGTCCAAATTAATTACAATTAATTCTGACACCACTATTGATGCCATTACTGTAATTTTAATGCATTTTAATATATTATTTACAGTAGTAAAATTCTATCCATGCTAGACCTTAACCAGGCTAAGCAGTTAGAAGATGGATGGATGGATGGATAGATGAATGATGGATATATGGATAGATGGGTGGATTGAAAATCATTAAATTTAAATAGCTGGAAAATTTTTCATGATTTATAGTAAAGAACCTGTCTTGTACTGTTCAGTCGTTGTATGTATGACCCTACAAGTCACAATGCTGTTTATAATTCAATGCATCAATGTCGTCCAGGCTACTGCATGAACGTAACAAATTGCAGCTCAACACTTCAGATGCTCTGTCCAACACCGGATGGCTGCCCTCAATCACTGCAGAATCACAGCCTAAAAACCACAAATCAGTTTGATTTATTTGTTCTGTGGTGTAATCATAGGGCTTACAAGTGATGAGTTTTCAGATGCATTTGTAAACCTGTCCGTGGGTCATGAATTTAGTCTGTGGTGGTAAAGTTTGGTCTCAAGGCAGTATAGACTTATGCAAAAATGTCATGCCTCCGGGCGGCTCGGGTGCAGGAACGTGGCACAGTGCAGGCACAGAAGAAGGGCGGACGACCCACTGGCAGCTCCAAGAACACAAAGGGGTTTATTAAATAAAACAGAAAATACTACAAACACAAAACAAAAGGACCACGAGGGTCAAACACTAAAGGGAATAAACTAAGACTAAATCACAAAACCAAATACACATCAAACACTGAAAATAGCAAAACCATCAAACATCGGAACCATCGAAGAACAACAACAACACAACACACAACAGTGAACTACTGGGGAACAGAAGCAGGAACTAAAGTACTAAGGGGTAACGAGACTAACACAGGACATGTGAGACTAATTAATAAAGACCAGGGAAACAGGGCACAGGTGAAACTAATAACCAAAGGAACTAAAAAACAGGGAAACTAGGAACTAACCAAGGACACAGGGAAACAGAAACCAACACTAGGGATTTAAACAGGTAAAGACACAAGCAGGGGCACAAGGAACAAAACCAAACCCAAAAACCACCAGATACAATAACTAGAAATACTAAGGAGCAACATACAAAAACAGGAGGCAGGATTCAAACACAGGACAGAAAGGTACACAGACAACCACATGCTCAACACATTGAGCCACATGACCAGACAGGTAACAGGGGAGAACAAAGACTTACATGAAGGACGGGATGACCAGCAACACCTGCTGGCCAAACGGGGAAGGGACACGGTAGGTCCACAGTAGGGGCTGACCCTGACACAAAAATCTCTCAAAATTTATTCTTATGTTCTTTAATTTAACTTTAGAATGAAATGATTTTACCGCAATTTTAGATCTGAGAAGATGTATGTGTGCAATTTGCATTTTTACCCATGTGACTTGGGTTTCCTCAGGGGACACCTGTTTTCTCTTGCAGTCCATCATTTATTGCTCTTATACCTTTTATTGCTTGTTATGCCTGTGTATGCACTATGATGGATCAGCATCCCATCCAGGATTTTCCTTGCCTTGTGCCCTGCTCACCCTGGTACTAAATAAGCAGTAGATGGATGAAAGGATGAATGAAAATATGACCTGGGTGACAATACACAGGGCAAGTTTTTGAGTAATGTTACTGGACAGTGCTGCTGACCAATGTTGCTCAGGTATTTTCCTATTGATACTGGGCAACAAATCTCTATTTGACCAACTTTCGTCAGCAGTGGACAACCTTTTGCAGTCATCCAGATCCACATTAGTTGCCCTTTGTCTCACCTGGTTGCCCGTTGCCCGGCAACATTGCTTAAAAAGTTACGCTATGTATCATTACCTTTACATGTTTTGTTATACATTTATTTCACCCATCCATCTTTTAACTCCTTATGCTGGATGTTAGTTAGCCTAACTCCATGTACTTGGACTGCTAGAGAAACCTACATGACACAAAATATGGAAGAGTAGAGATGGGATTTTCACTCCAACCGTGAAGGTGTGACATAACAGTGCTACCTACTGATTCCCTCTGTGATTATTTTTTATGTCTATATAGCAGAATGAGATAATGCCTGTAGCTGTGGTTTGAATTAGAATCTTAACAACTTTAAAATGCTCCAGAAAAAATCCCCAAGAAGTCACAAAAAATGACTTTAGAGAATGCATATATTGTAAATAATGTTGGATCAGTGAAGTATTTATATAATGAACATGTAATCCTCTAGGATGAGAATAATTTTCCATGATACTGCAATGGATATTGGTTGCACATATTTAACATTTAAAGATTTATTCAAAGAAGAAATAAAACAGTGACGGATCATCTTGGTTGTCTTCTTTTTTGTTTAGTAAAAACATTGTAATGCTTTGTTGTATTGCTGTAGCTGCTGTAAGAAGCTGAATAGAAAGTATCCTTAATTGAAGGAGCATATTGTATGAGAGAAAAATAATAAAAAACGGAACCCATTTCTATTCAGGATGAAATCTATGGGTGTTGATGAATTATTCTTACAGTCGACAGTGGTGTCCTCAATGTTGAAGGCTGTCATTTTTTTCTGCTGCTGATGATGGGGCAAAGGGCCAAACAAGACTGAAGGAAATCATTTCCATACAAGACAGAAAGAAGGAAACCCTTTATGCCCCTAGAGCCCCATGCAATTGAAAGCCCACAGCAATTCAAGAATCAGTCTCTCTCAAGCATGAAAATAAGGCAACCGAATTTTAAGGTTGATGTGACGCACTTCCTTTGTTCTTGTGATAGTCGCATC